GAGAGGGAGGGAGGGGGGGCGAACGACTGTAAAACTTCAATACAAGCTAAGTGACTTACGATCAGCATCCGCAAATATGATGAGCGGTGACTTGCCACCCAGTTCAAGACTGAGGCGTTTAACATTCGTTGCCGCCGCCTGCATAATCAGCTTGCCCACTGCCGTGCTGCCAGTGAAGGTGATCGCGTTCACCTGAGGATGGCGAGCCAGCGCGGAGCCCGCGGTCTCTCCAAAGCCCGGAAGGATATTGACCACTCCTGGTGGGAAGCCTGTATGATGAGAAGAAAAATAACTTGTCGTAAGGGGCCTCTGTGTTACCGACAGCGTGGACCTGGAAACGTAGCCACTGACTGGCACACTTTAATTCTGCATACCACATTAATGTACAGTGACAACAGTTAGAGCATCGGTTTTGATGATGTCCATCGTATTAGTTTTAATTGATAGTAGACTTGCACAACATCTACCGCACTCACTCACTCCCTCGTTTTCTCCCTCTTCCCTCACCTATTTCAATCCGGTGTCAAGAGAAAGTCAAGAAGACCGGAGGCAGGTTCGGGCGCAGGGGGCTGGCGCGACCGAAGCCGCTCCTATGTGTGCCACCACGCCCCCATGCATTCGTTACTGGAACACAACCCGAATAAGGCCGGCTGTACCATAATCTGGTGTCCAGCGTATCTAACGCGTGGCCGTAAACAAAATACTATATTTTACCGTGGAACTGGACACCGTAAACAAGCTTATTCGATTTGAAGCATGTCACAAGATACTGTTTGTACAATCTGGTTTACGCTAAGGCGTGATCTAGAAAACGACGGGGACAGAAGATGCACAGTTTTTGCGAAATCTTCGGTGCATTTAAAATCTTAGAACAGAGCCTAAAAGTAATCAGTTATAGTAGAAAACATTTCAATATGAAGCGAAGAGTACGTTTTTTGTTCTTCCCCATAAACCAAAAAGCAGTCAAAGGCCCTCATTATTACTTCGATGTTACCTTGGTAAGAAGAAACTTACGCAGACATTCGTCAGCCGAATATCTAATTAAAGTGCTTTTAAAGGCGGATACTTATTACAGCACGTTGCTTAACTGATCTTAGGCATAATAATATCGGACTTTCATTATGGAGGTTTTTTTTTCTCGGCAATGAGTTTCCATGTTTGGCTGAGCCTATAAATATGATCCAAACAGCCATTTTCAGATTAAG